ATATCCAAATGGCTTTTTTTTAGTGTACTTTTTTTCCATGATAGTGAGAGAACAGAAATGAGGAGATGGGTACCCGCAATAGAGTTCTCACGCCATGATCCACCCCCAATTCCAGCATCAGCCAGGCAGGACATGGGCACACACACATGCACCTGACATGTATAAGGCTCAGGAGGCAAACCAAGGACCTTCCCATATGGATTGAGTTGTGTTATCACTGCACCTCTAACTTCTTATTTCTATTCTAAAGGAAAAAGATAGAGACTACAACTTTGCAGTAATAAAATTAATTATTTTGGGACCAGCAGTTAGCGTAACGGCTATGTCGCTGGACTCCCACGTAGTGGACCGTGGTTCGAGTTCCGGACCCGGTGGCTTAAACTCACGCCAGGTGCATGTGCGTGTGTGCCCAAGATCCCAAGAGGAGAACGGAGGAGAAGGGATTGCAGCATGGCCATCCCCTCTGGGAGGTGATTTCTCGCTTTCTGTCTCTGTCTGTCTGGCGAGCTCAAGTGCCCTATAGCAAAAACCTCTCCAAAAAAAAAAAAAAAATTATTTTCACCTTTTGAGGAGGGAAAATCTAAATAGTTGTTTCCAAAATAAAACATTTCATATGGGGGGGGGGAGGTAATATGTGGCCCTCAGACATTCAAAAGCATGAGTTAAGGAGTTCAGGTGACAGAAAGACCTCCATTCAAATTCTGACACCACCCGTCACTGTGTGACCTTGGGCTGATAACGAAACCTGTCTAAGTTGCTTTCTCCACACTTATGAAAAAATGACAACCACATCATAAATTCTTGGTAAATGACAACTATTTTATTATATTTGCTTCTCCCACTGAAAATACATTTTGGAAGATATTTTAAAATGTTTCATTTATTTTAATAGATAGAAACTATTCTTTCTCGTTTTTTGGCTATTCTTAAAATTCCCCCAGGCCTACTAATAGAGAATATGACATTTTGCAACTCAAAAGCTGCTATCCTTCTCATTCCTTCTTTCTGAATTATGTTTCCAACAAGGCAAGCTCAGTGAGAACCAGAACTAGATGTATGTCAATAAAGTTTTCAGCACTGAGCTTCTCTCCTTGACCTGCTTAAGTGGCTTTGTTGTTTTTTTATTTATTTATTTACATTATTTGGCTTTAAGGACTCTGCTCAAAAAAACAATCATTTATTTCTTAAAAAAATAATCTGGGGACCAGCATTTGGCGTAATGGTTATGTCGCTGGACTCCCACGTAGTCAACTGCAGTTCGAGTCCTGGACCTGGTGGCTTAAACTCACGCCAGGTGCATGTGTGTGTGTGTCCAAGATCCCAAGAGGAGAATGGAGGAGAAGGGATTGCGGCGTGGCCATCCTTCCCTGGGGGGTAACTTCTCACTTTCTGTCTCTTTGTCTCTCTCTGTCCATCTGGCGAGCACACGTGCCCTATAGCAAAAACCTCTCCCTCCCCCCCAAAAAAAAATCGGAAGGCTTGGGTGAATGATAACCAATTGTTGATTAAAACATATTTTGGGGGGAGAAGCAGTAGATGGCATAGTGATTACATCACTTTACTCACATGGAGTCAACCCTGTTTCGAGTCCTGCACCCAGCAGCTTAAAATTCACACTAGGCACCTGTGCATGCATGCCCAAAATCCCGAGAGGATAATGGAGGAGAAGGGATTGTGACGTGGCCATCCCCCCCACCCCGGGGGGGTGATTTCTTGCTTTTTGTCTCTCTGTCTCTCTCTGTTTCTCTGGTGACCAATAGCAAAAATTGTTTTAAAAAAAATTGTTTTAGCTCACAATAGCCAAAGGGCAGAAACAGCCCAAATGGTCATTCACATAAACGAAGTAGTGCATACATACAATGGAATACGATTTGGCCAATAATAAGTGAAGTTCTGATACATGTTACAATATGGATGATCCTTGAAAACATAAAGCTGGGCACGCTCCATGGCGTAGTGGTTAAGGGAGTCAGATCCCACATGACAGACCATGTAACTTAAATCCCAGCCCTGGTGGCTTGATAAACACGCCAGACACATGCACATGTGTGCCCAAGTCCTGACAGGATAGAGAAAGGGAGGAAACGGGATTGCTGTATGACCACACCCAATGAAGGGGTTCTTCCTCCTTCTCTCTTTGTCTCTCTGTCTCTCCATCTGTCTCTGAAAAGCACACGTACCCTCTGGTAAATTTAATAAAAAAGAAAAATATTATTTTAAGTGAATCAGATCAGATATAAAAAGAAAAATATTGCCTTATTTTATTTTTATGAAAGAACTTGAAGTGGCAACTTCATAGACAAAGTAGAGTAAAGGTTATCAGAGGCTGTGGAAGGAGGAAATGAGATGTCATTGCTTAATGGGTGTGATAGTTGTTTGGGGTGATGGAAAAGTTTTAGAAATACAGTAAGAGTTGTAGAACTCCACAAATGTACTAAATGCTACTGAAGTGTACACCTTAAAATGGTAAAAAAAAAAAAATTGGCCAATTTAAGGTTATATATATTTGACTATGATAACAACATTTAAGTTAATTATTTCTTTCATGAGCGAGAGAGAGAGGAGAGAGAGACAGTGTCCCCCACAGGGTCCTAAGATTGCAATCTGTCTCCTATGTCAGCCAACCCCAGATCACAGGCATCAGCACTCAGTATACTCCAGATGGTCTCGGAATACAAACCCAAAACCTCTCCATGTGGATCCGTCTATAGAGCATCATATTTTACCACTGTGACACCGTCTGGCTCCTTCGTGTAATTATTTCATTATGAATGGAAATTTAACAATTTAATTCAAAACTCACAGGCCATAAAATTTGGGAGAAGACCCACCTTCTTAATATTAGATCATCAGAAAATTCATGACATATTTTTTTTCTGTTTTTCTATGCAAAACTGTCACGACTTTTCTGACGACTCAATATATGAACCAGAAGATTTCAGTCTGACTGGTGCTTCTCCAGCAAGTTTACTTCACATTTAGGTTTAATGTCAGTTCTTTCTGTATTCATGTAAGGCTTCATACAATCACACTCAAAATCATAGTTACATTTTTCTCCAAACTTAAAAAAAATGTGTTTTTTAATCTTGTTTTGAGTTTTGAAAAAAATAGTTAAAGACAAACATTTGCTTAATAGCTATGAAAGAAATTAGGGAAAAAATCATTCACCTGGAACTTCATATACTATACAAAAATAATTTTTAGATGAATGAAACAGTTAAATGTCAAAACAAAATTATAACATTTTTGAAAACATATGACCAAATAGTTCATTTGTTTCGGGTAAAGAATGCATACATTTCGAAACAGTAAAAGAAACCAAGAAAATATGGTTAACTCTCACCCTTTTACCTATGCATGTAGCACACAAACACATACACACACATGCACACACACGCATACACACGTGCACATGCACACACGCATACACAGACATATACAAACTTGCTATTATTTTATCAGAAGCAAAGTTAACTTATTGGGATGTTTTAGTCAACTTATTTATCTATGTACAAGCATATGCACATGTATGTAAAAGAGACAGAGAGAAATGCCCTCGACATGGTCTCGTCATTCCCCGGCCCTCCAGGTAGTCATGCTCTTAGACTCACACGCACTCAGGGGGTTCAGGTTAACTGAGGATCCAAACCCACAGTTGGCCATGGGACTTCCAGCATTGGTTCAGCATACTGCCACCTATGGCACCGAGGCGGGTCTTTTTCTACATGACTATAACACAATACCATATACTGAGTAATTTATAAAGAAAAGAAAGCTTATTTGGTTCATAGTTCTGGAGACTGGGAAGTCTATAAGCATGGTGACAGCTTCTGGTGGGTTGGGTTTTTTTTTAATTGCCAGAGGGCATATACACTTGCCAAAGACAGACAAACAGAGAGAATGAGAAGGAGAAAGTACACCCTCCCCCCACAGGGCATAGTCCTGCCACAGTTCTGTTCCCTCCATTTCCTAGCAGGGTTTGGTGCACCTGCATTTGCACCAGGTTTGTTTTTCAAGCTGCCAGGGCCAGAATTGGAACCATGGTTCAGCTATGTGGGATCTAACCCCCTTAACCATGAGGCCAGCCTGGGAAAGGCTTTTATACTATTAATACATCATAACATAAAGGAGTATGTTCAAAAGGGGGAAGTAGGGCGGAAGGGGGCAGCGCAGACTCACTTCGCAACAACTGCTCTGCGTCCTGCTCATTTCCGCCTTCCACCCTTCTACTATGGGCTAACTCATCAATACTAGTACCATATTCTTAGCCTTCCCAGACTCCAAAACCGTGAGCCACATAAACTTCTGTTCTTTATAAATTACCCAGTCTCAGGTATATAACAGAAAACGGACTAAGACATAGGGAAAACATTTACAAAAAGTAGCAATAGACTTCAGTTTTAAGCTAGACAAGCTGATGCTAAAGATCACATAGAAAAATAAATATGTAAGAATTAATCAAAATTCTGAAAAAGAAGACTGATGGAGTGCATGTGGAGAAAACTAGTCTCATAATAATTAGATTTTTAATGCATGGATAGACACTTAAGTATAAAGTTCAAAAATAGACCCAATACAACAGGAGAGTTTAGAATATGGTAATGACACCAGTTATATAAGTAGGGTATCTTAATCCATTTATCCTACTATAATAGAATACCTACTACTGGGCAATTTATAACAGATATTTAGTGTCTTACAGTTACAGAAGCTGGGAAGTCTAAGATCAAGACACCAGCAAGTTTGCCATTTCATAACAACATTCTGTTCTTCTAACATGGGGCCTTCACACACAACCCCTGGAAGAAGTGAAGGCTATATTCTCACATGGCAGAAGATAGAAAGGCCAAGAGAGAGCTCATTCCAAAAGCTCTTTTATTAAGACATTAAATTCACCCTATGACAGTGGAACCCCCCCATGGTCTAATTACCTCTTAAAGTTCCCACCTACCAATATGTTGCCAATTAAATTTCAACATGAATTTTGGAGGGTACAAACATTCAAATCATAGCATGGCAAAAAGATAGATTAATAATAAATTTGTTAAAACCAGAAGGTGGCATGGTAGTTCAGATGCTGGATCCTTCATGGCTGACTCTACCATTCTAATCGCAGACCTGGATGCTTGAAAATGCCAGGCATAGGTGCATTAATGCCCCATATCCCTAGAGGAGACAAGAGGAAAAGAGATTGCAACATAGCTGTCCCCACCTCCTCCAAGGGGTGATTTCTCATTTTCTTCCCTCTCTCTGTATCTCTCTGGTGAGCATACATTTCCTATGACAAAAAGCTAATAATAATAATAAATACATTTGTTAACAACTGAGTAGTCATTTGGATTTTTTTTTTCATAAGAGAAAGCAGGAGGTGGAGAGAGAAAAAGAGGAAGAGAGAGAGGTATTTTTGACAAGGTCTCATAATTGCAAGCATCTGCTCTGACCTCCCACTTAACCAGGTGTGCACTGCCAGGCCCGGCCTGTTCCGGTTGATGTGGCATCCAGCCTGGTCCCCTGCATGGCCACAGCCTCACACAGCAGTGCCCTACCTTTTACACCACCACAGCTGGACTCTAGAAAAAATTTAATTGGCTCCTGACTTCGCATTTTACACCAAAATGAAGTCTAAATGGATTAAGTAACTGAAGAGGAAAAAACTGTAGACAGTGAAGCTCAGATAAGCTTCCTCACTGGTGTGCCAGGAGGGTGAGGCCTCCTGACTTTATGGGGAGATGATATGCCAGCTCTGCATTTGGGATCCTCCGAGGTTTTACCATACACATTTCCTCTTGGTTTCGATTTGTACTTTTTGCTGAAAAAAAAAAAAAAAAAAAAAAAGCCCTAAAATCCTAAGTACAGCTTGTTCCTTAGTTCTGTGAGTCATTCTAGAAACTGATGGAACCTGAGGGAGCAATGGAAACGTCTGAATGGTAGCCAATTGGTGAGAAGTGTGGGTGGCCTGGGAATCATTGAGCTTACATCTGGTGTCCGAATTGAGGGTCGCCTGATAAAGGACTGAGTCTTTCCCTGTGAAGACTGGCCTGACTCCAGGTAGTATCAGAATTGCAATGCAGTTGACTACAAGAGAAATTTACTTGGAATTCAGAAGTCATAAAGAAAGCAGCAGCTTCCTACACACTGGAAAACGTGCAGGACATCATGTCTGTAGTACCTCGTGCGTGTTGTGGCTGATTTCCTGGTGCCCAACCCGTGGCTCCTCCAGCTCCTCCTATCGCATCTCCCCCAACTATTTTGAGTCCTGAACCAAAGACACGTGCAGCTCTGTAGATAAGAGTACCAGCTACTTTTGCAGTTCTTGGGCTAGCCAAGTCATGTAAGATGAAAGAATAATGGATGCAAGCTCCATTTTTTTCTAGTAGTTTCTAGTTTGTCACTACTCTTATTCTTGTTTAACTTTCCTTCCCAACTTCTGGTCCAGCTAACCTATGGTGAATTCAGGTCCAATACCAGATGCCAGGCAGCTGATTGCTCTCCCATCAGTCATAATTGCATGAGACTGAATCCCGATAACAAGTCCCATCTTCTATATCACTCTTCATTTTCTCTAGTCTTGCCTTGACTGATACAACTCTTTCAGTCTACCCACTGATAGAAAACTATAAACTTGTGACTGTCTATAATTTCAGGGGGAAACACTGTGGGAATAGGATGACACTAGCTTCTTCAGCCCTTACTGATTATTAGATTTTTTTTAAAATCCTGGTCCAACCACGGTGGTGTAGCAGGATACAGTTATCAACTCTGATGACAGGGTATTTTAGCAGGGTGGGGCAAGAGTGGTGTTTGACTCTGATAGCTTGGTCTTTATAATATTTTTAAAAAGGTCCAAACAGGTGGTGTGTGGCATGGTGGTTAAGGCCACTAGACTCCCACATGGATGACCATGGTTTGAGTCTTGGACCTGGCAGCTTGCTCTCTCACTTTCTCTCTCTCTCTCTCCCCCTCTCTAGTCAAATATAAATAGATAGATAGATAGATAGATAGATAGATAGATAGATAGATAGATAGATAGACAGATAGATAGCTAAAAATACTTCTTAGGGGACCAGCAGGTGGCATGATGGTTAAGGTGCTGGACACTCCCACATGGTTGACCATGGTTGAGTGCTGGATCTGCAGCCTGCTTTCTCACGTTCTCTCTTGATGTCTGTGTGTGTGTGTGTGTATGTGTGTGACTCTCTCTCTGGTCAAATTAAAATAAAATAGATGAATAAATACAATTAAAACTATAAAGCCACAGATCTAATGAAGCCCAATGAACCCCAAGCACAAGAAACACAAAGAAAACTACATCAAGACACATTATAATCAACTGTTCAAAACCAGGCACAGAAAAATGACATATAAATGATTGATTTCTTAGAGAAAAAAAAGAATAGGACATTTTTGTTTATAGAGGTTTTTTGTTTTACAGTGCATGCACTCCCTGGAGAGAGAGAGAGAGACAGTGAAAGGAAAATGAGAAATCACTCCCTAGGAGGGCTAGCCATGCCACAATCCCTTCTCCTCCATTCTCCTGGGATGTTGGGCACGCACACACATGCACCCAACATGTTTCAAGCCACCGGGTCCAGGACTCAAACTGCAGTCAGCATTGTGGGAGTCCAGCAAAAAAACCACTATACCATCTGCTGGCCCAAAATAGAACATTTTTAAAGTATTGAAAGAAAAATGTAAAAACCCATAAACTTATAATTCCATCATTGTATTTTCCATTATTTCTTTAAAATTCACATGTAATTGGGCCCACACAACTCAAACCCATGTTGTTCAAGGTCAACTGTATATTGGGCTTTGTTTAACCTTTATTGTTTAATATGTAACTCTCAGCATTACTTTACCAGATTCTATTTACTTTGTAATAAAGCAAGTAAGATTCTAAAAAAATGTTTACAAGTTAATATATACAAAGCTGGTATGTAAAATACATGTGTATATATGTCAGAAAAGTCATGATGTATTTATTTTTCTATGCAACAGTGTGTCATGACTCTTCCAATGACTATATATATATATATATATATAGATATAGATATATATACATACATACATGTATATTTGTATAGGTTCAATTTTTGCCAGAGGCTGTGTATTTTCCAGAGGTTTGCGGGGAATGAGTAAGATAGCAAACCCCACCCCACACTCAAGCCACTGGAGGAAAGTGAGGCCACTATTCCTTTTCCACCATTTCTCAAACCTCCTTTTGGGAATTTTGGGCATGCACACACACATGCTTGACATATTTTCAGGCCGCTAGGTCCAGGACATAAAACATAGTCAGTTGTGGAATTCAGCCGCCTTAGCTACCATCTCATGGGCTGGCTCCCAAAATATATTTCAGAAACAGAGGTGAAAGACACATTTACAGGCTTACAAAAACTAAAAGATTTCATCAGCAGCAAATCTGCCCTATAGATCTATTGGAAGAAGTCCTTCAAGCAGCAGAGTAATGCCAGTTGATTAAGTAGATCCAGATAAAGGGATCAAGAGCTATGTAAAGTGGTAACTAGAGGAGTAAGTAGGGAGGTTTTTTCCTGTTTTTATTTTTATTTATTTTTTTAAGTCTCTTTAAAAGAGAATCTGTTTTAACAAAAACAAGGTGTGGGACTTTTTACTTACATCAATATAACATGTATGCCAACAATAACGTAGCCTCTAGCAAGTGTAATCAGAGGGTGAGACAGAAGGTTAAAATGTATCAGGACTACAATTGAACCGTAACTAGAGATTATAGTTTTTGTTTTTGTTTTGTTTTTGTTTTTGTTTGCTATAGGGTGGGTGTGCTCACCAGAAAGACAGAAAGCAAGAAATCACCCCCAGGGGGGATAGCCACACTGCAATCCCTCCCCCTCCATTCTCCTCTTGGGATCTTGGGCACGCACGCACACGCACCCAGTGTGAGTTTAAGCCACCGGGTCCGGGACTCAAACCATGGTTGACTACATGGGAGTCCAGCGACATAGCCATTACGCTAACTGCTGATCCCAAGATTATAGAGTTTTACAAAAATTATAAGTAACACTTTGTACCACTCAATAGCAATAAATTTGGAAGATGGAACAGTTTGTTTTCTAGACAAGTATAAATTACCCGAATTGACTCCTGAAGAAATAGAATCTGAATAAATCAATAATCAGAGGAAATGGAAGGAAATCAATGAGCTACTTTGAAGCCAAACCCAGATAATTGTATAAATGAGTTTAACGAACCATAAAGAAACAGATCATTCCTATATTATTAAATTTTTTTTCTGGACATGGAAAAAGATAAGCTTACCAATTCATTTTATAAGGCTAATAGAACCCTGAATCAAGATGAAAATCAAATGAACAATTTTTTTGTAAACTGTGTTTGACTCATGAATGCAGATTCAAAACATTGAAATTTAGGAAAGTTAACAAATAGATCCACAATGTGTAAAAGGTACAATATAACATGCATAGTTTTTGTGTTAGGACGCCACGATAGTTCTGGGTTAAATACTCTGTTTTTAAAGAGTCTATCAAATCTTCCTTTCCCTTATCAGCTAATTCACAAAGCATGAAATATTTACCAATATTACATATATGCCATTCACTAGATATTAGGTCTCTGCCTTCATGGGGCCATCTAGAGAGAGATGCAAATAAAGTTGTAATATAGTGTAATGGGGTTTTTTTCTTATCAATATAAACTTTTTTTAAAAGAATTATTTTATTTAACTTTATTTATTTTAATTTGACCAGAGAGGTACAGAGTGAGAGTGAGAGTGAGAGAGAGAGATAGACAGAAGGAAAGCAAGAAAGCAAGCCCCCAGATCCAGGACCTAAACTGCAGTCAGCATGTGGGAGTCCAGTGCCCTTAACTACCAAGCCACCTACCGGCCCCCAACAGTATAATGGTTCTGCTAAAACTGTGCAGGAACACAGATATCAGCACTCTATCCACATTTTAAAGTTCTCACAAGGCTTTCTAAAGGAAGTAATGATTCCCTTGAGCAGCAAAGGGCAGTTTCTTAGAGGGTTACAGTGGGAGTAATATGATGAGAGGAAACTGAGAGAGGGTTCACATTAGGTTGCTTTTGTACCAAAGAAAACAAGCCTTTGACGGTTTAGTTTAGGTGAGTGATACCAGACCTACATTCTTACTTCTTGCACTGTGTGGACTGATTCTGAAGACTGCAAGCAGGAAAATATTAGGGTGTTGTTGGAATAATCCTGATGAGCTGTTTGCTGATTCTAGGATGGTGATGGTGGGGGAAAGTGGACACAGCGTAATTAGAAAATGGTACAAAATTTTGACTATTGATTGGATGGGGAAGGATGGAGTCAAATATTCTTTGGGGTCTTAATATGTAAAGGGTAGCATGGTCAAATAAGTTTGGAAAATACTAGGTTAAATATAAAGAGCTTTCTTTACTGCAGTTCTTGTCAGAAACTGACAAAGAGAACACCATTTTAACAAATACCGTTTCCCAAACATTTGTTTATAGAACATTTTGAGACTAATATTCCATGGAACACTCTGTGGAAACAGCTATACCACAAAACTCCTCTTCCTTTGTACTTCTGTAGTTCTTAAGGCTTAGATGAGTTCTGTCTCCAACTATATTCAATTACTTGAGGCTGTCTTGTTTTATCCCTTTACACTGTACACATATTTAGTTAGGTTACTTTCAACTATGTGAAGTTTACAGTAAAAAAGTTTACAAGAGTTGCTCCAAAAGAATACTGAAGGTTAGTTTGAGTCGGGATCATTTGATCAATGGATCTGATCCAGATAAGCAGCAATAGAGCTATATTAATCTTTCTTAATACCTACAAACCTGCTGAGTAAGTTCATACATACACCTGAAAATAACAGGTTGGCTGGGAACAAATCCTATTAAACTGCTTAAACAAACAAATTTTTCATCTTTCTGCTGAGTTGTAGCTCTAGTCACCTAGACACAGAAAACTGAATACATTTAGAAACAGAAAATCTGAGTGTATATATATAAACTCCTGGAGACCAAGAGAATAACTAGATTACTTTACAGTGCCCTAAACTATAACCTGGGTCGTAGAACACCTGATTCTAACATATCAGGTTCATGATGTACTAAAGATATATTTGAGGATATTTTAAAGAATTGACATTCTTTTTTTTTTTTTTTAAACTTGCCAGAGGGCATGCACACTCACCACAAAGAGGGAAAGTGAGAAGGCACCTGCCATGGGGTAATGTCTTGCCACAATCCTGTCCTCTCCCGTCTCTCCCACTTTCGGAGAGTTTGGACACACATGCACATGTACTCAGTGTGTTTTCCAAGTCAACAGGTCTAAGACTCAAACCATACAGTAGGCCATGTAACCACTTGGCTGCAGGCTAGCCCAAAAACCTGATTTTTTCTTTTTTAGATTTTTGTCACAGGGCAAATGCACTTGCCAGAAAGAGAGATAGACAAATACAGAAAGAGGGAAAATAAAAAAAAAAACAACCCTTGGGGGGATGGCCACACTGCAATCCCTTTTCTTCTATTCTCTTCCTGGGGTTTTGGGCACACACACACATGTACCTGGCCTGAGTATTAAGCCACCAAGTCTGGTACTCAAATTGCAGTCAGCAATGTAAGAGTCTGGTGCCCCAACCACCATGCCAACTGATGGCCAGAAGAACTGGCATTCTTAACACCAAGCAATCACTAAGTGAAAATATGTTGCTAACTTATTGTGTGCAATGTCTATGAAGTAGGTCACAAAAAGATACACTGTTCCTTTTTATATTGTTTAATATATTAAAAAGTAACAGCACAAATGCTGTGGTTAGTATTAAAAAGGATCCAAATTTTTCAAGGAATGAACTTTTATAAACAATTTTGCAATGAAAGGGAAACTATCTTGATACATAAACGTTTTGTTAAACAAGATTTTAAAATGTTACAGTTAGAAAACATTAACTGCTTTCCAATGGTCAAACAAAAGAACAATCTGTACACTCTCCATAATAAAACATGTCCTTGAACGTAAGTCCTGGGCACTTTGAAAATGTTAAAATTTTTAAAGGTTGAAAGATAGAGACAGTCTTAGAGTTTTTTCCAAATAAAAACTTTCAGTAAAACATTTTACCATTTTATCAGACTATACACAATGACAATTTTTTTTTTAATTTCTGAAAGGGGATTTTTGCTAACAGTTATTTTTACTGTAAAAATATACATGTACATATTCAACTTCCTGAGTTACTTCAATTATATATTAAACATGATTTAATAAACAAAATCTCTTTTATTTGCTATAGGGTGCGCGTGCATACTGGAGACAGACAGGGAGAGAGAGAAAGGAAGAAATTACACCCAGCAGGGATGACCAGGCCACAATCCCTTCTCTTCCGTTGGATTTTGGACACACATGTGCACACACTGAATTTTTTAAGTGTTTGGGTCCAGGACTCAAACCATGTAGTTGGACATGTGGGATTCAACAGCCTTAACCTCCACGCCACCTGCTGGCCCAGCAAATTCTAAAATTTTAGAATCAACAGCAAAGTTTATCATTTATCATAAGTTCAATTAGAATAAAACTCAGAGCATGTCACAGAATTTATATTTAAAAATTGCCTAAGAAGTTAAGCATTCTGATTTATCCCCATACTTTACCTGTAAGTTTTCTCCAATAAAATGTTAGTAAAATGAATCACTGGAAAGTTTTATATTCCAATTTATTAACAAAATACTGATAGCCATTTCAGATTATCAACTTGGATGTTTCCTAATATGTACACCAAAATCTGACTAACAAGAAATGTACTGCAATACAAAAGATAACAGATAATCAAAATATTTGTTTTTAATTCAACCAACCTATACAATTCACCTTTCCTAAACAGCTTAAAACAATTAGGAACTGTGGCACTTTCTTTTGCATAAAACCCTTTCCTCTTCAAAAAACCCTGAGGTGAAAGGTAATTAATAAAACAGGAACCACAAATCTTCATTTCTGTATTAAAGTATAACTACAGACTTTAAAAAATTTATAAAGAAATGTGGCAACTTTGTAAAGCTGCTCTGTACAATTTTTCCACAAATACTTCCAAACCAACTTAGTCCAAAGGGCCCAAAATGACCCCATGAAACAATGTCCTTTTACCACTCACTAGTGGCGAGACGAGCGCCATTTTCCATCTCTACTGCCGTCTCGTCTGTTTTCATAGTCATGGCTCCAGCCATCATGAATCCTGTCTTCATAGAAGAACTCATCTCTGCTTCCTCTGTAATGGTGGTCAGACCCAGGATCAGTATAATGCTGTTCACGGCCGTAATGTCTATCTGCTAGGTAGGGATGGGAATTCTGTCTGGCTTTACGCTGCGATGATGGTGTATCTTGGCGCCACTGGGAGCCTGAAGACTGGTTAAAAGTCTGATTATGTGACTGAACTGATGGTGAAAATCCTGACTGATCCAGATGTGGAGAACCAAATTTTCCACCGTATGACATCTGTCTGAAAACATTGTTCATCTGAGGGAAGAGAAAAAGAAGGAAATGTTAACTGCAAATACTTCTTGCCTATCAAAGCCAATATATATGTGGGCAGTTAACCAAATGGAGGATGAAGGACAAGTAAAATCATTCTCGCCTACACAGATCCTAAGTTAAACATAACTAAAAGTAATACAACAATCCCATTCATCCCAACATGTATCTAAAAGATTATCTGTGTGTAAATACTACTCTTTGCCCTCAATACAACTTGGAAAAGAAGTCATACAAATTATAATGCAAATCACCATTATGAACATATAAAAAGCTGGAAGCTCAGCATCATCAGGAAAGGCGTGTAAAGTTATATTGAAAAGAATGTCAAGTATTTTAAGGGCATGGTATGCTAAGGAAAGAAAGTTCCACAAAATAACAGGAAAATACCAAATGACTTCAAGAAACAGCAAATAGTTCTGGATTAGACAGGTTATAGACCTTCTAAAGCAGTAAACAGCTGAAGGTCAGGCTAGAACACTTTACTAGAATCAGACAATGGAAATGCCTAATAACTAGGCGAGAGAAGTCTGACTTATCAAACAATGCAAACTCAATGTGTGAGGAAAATGAACTGAACAGGGTTTTATATGGGTTTGACCAGAGCCCATGTGCACTTGCCAGAGAGACACAAGTACACAGAGCAGGGGAGAGGAGAAGGCACTCCCCAAATAGGGCATGGTCATGCCACAATCCCTTCTCCATTTTCCATCCTATCAGGATTTGGGGCATGCACACACACATGCACCTAGCATGTTTTTCAAGCTACTGGGTCCAGGATTCAAACCACACAGTTGGCCATGTGGGATCTGGCTCTCTTAACCATTAGGCCACAGGACCAGCCCCAATATTAATTCTGAAATGGATTAAAGCAGGACTAGTAAGAAAAGAGACATGAAAATTGACTAGACAAGTGGTTCTCAAAATCTGTCTGTGGACAGGTATTATTTTGCAGTGCTGTAAAACACAGACGCATAGGGAGTATAAGCAAAGATCGTGACTCAGGTAAAGAAAACAAAAAGGAAGAAATGAGTATCAGAACTGCAAACAAACAAACAAACAAAAAAACACAAAGGATTGTGGTGAATTAGTAGAGATAATGAACAGTAGAAGACTGCTAAAATTTTAAGTGCAGTCTCATGGTGATGTTCTTAACTAAAAAAGAAAGTTCAAGAAGGAACAAATTTAGAAGACTGCAGTATATTAAAATATTAGAGAGAGTTCATGATAAATCACTCAGGATCTGGTGCGAGAACATGAGAATCTCTGTTATTTACATATATCCACAGCAATGATAGTTACAAAGAAAAATAAATGTAAAATGCAATTTAACTTCGCTTTATCTTCAGTCTTTTAAACATACATTTCAGCCAAGTGAAACGAGTAATCAATCTACAAAGATCATGCTAGTCTAACAAAAATTTGAGAGAAAATTATTTTAAGAATTTTAAGTTAATTTATGATATAAGGAATAAAATATCCAACATTGAAGTTAATTTAAAACCATTACCTGACATAACATGAGCATTTTAATAAGTACTTTCTTTTAAGAAATTAAGTTAAAAAAATTCAGCCTACCACTGCTTGTCTCTGAAAATTTTCTGGAGAAGAGAAAGATCTCTGAATTATCTGTGTTGATAGAGTCATGTTGTCCATAGTTCTTTCAAATCTGCTAAAAATAAAACCAACACATCATTTATTCAACAAGTATTTACTAATCAACAATCAAGAATAAGACACAGTTCCCAAAGGTAAGAATGCATAAGCCAGATACACTGTCACAGAGCTAGGATAAAGATACAGACCACAGCACATTTTACACGGTTATAAATGACATAATGGTCAGAGGAGGTGAGAGAGGAGGGATTTAGGCTGGCTGATAAGGGTGTATTTTATTAATAAGTGAGAGCTGAACAAGAGTATTCCAGTTGAGAGAAGGGATAGGGCAAGGGTAAGCAAACTACAGTCTGTGGACCCAATTCAGTTTTCATAAACAAAGTTTTATTAGAACACAGCCATGCTCTTTGCGTGTGTGTTATTAATGGCTACTTCAGTGCCACAGAGGCAGAGAAAGACACTGGATGGCTCTGGTCTCTCCCTGAGCTAGGCCTAAACTGACGATGACAATCAAATGGATTTGATTGACTGGATATGAAAGATGATGAAAAAAGAATGAAGAAAGAATAAAATCTGAATTTTGGGTTTGAGCACCTAAGTAGGTATATATTTACTGAGACAGGAAAGAAGAGGTTTGGGGGTGGGGTATAGAATTCTGGGACCAGCAGCTGGCGTAATGGCTATGTCACTGTACCCCCATGTAGTCGACCATGGTTCGAGTTCTGGACCTGGTAGCTTAAATTCACACGGGGCGCATGTATGCCCAGGATCCCAAGAGGAGAATGGAGGAGAAGGGATTGCGGAGTGGCCATCCCCCCTGGGGGATGATTTCTCGCTTTCTGTCTGTCCTTCTCTGTCTTTCTGGCGGGCACATGTGCCCTATAGCAAAAACCTCTAAAAAAAAAAAAAAAATAGTAAGAGTTCTAGCACATACAAAGGAAACTTTCTCAAACCAGCACTTTCTACTCCTTCTCTAAGAGAAGGTATTATAGTTAATTAAACAGGTAGTCACAGAAATATATATATAATATATATATAATGTATCTTATTCTAGATTTTCAGCTCCACTAGGCGATATACTCATAGTGGATGGGCTTGATCACACTAACTAGGCTTGAATCCCAGCCTGCTACTAATAAGCAGTTCAAATTTAAGCAAGTTAACCTCTATTCTTTTTCTTCATACAGGTCTTCAAAGAGTTCATGGAAAATGCATTTTATGAAAAAATTATGCATAAGCTTAAAAACTTTTTGCAACAAAATAAATTCACACTTTAATCCATTTTCCCATGAACCTTTAGCAGTCCCCTCACAGACAAATAATCTCTACCTACCTCATAAGACTTCTATGAGGCATATGAGATCAAATTTGCAAAAGACTTGGCCAAAAACCCTAGCGCATGGCAAGTATTTGTTAAATCTTTCTTAAATGAAACCTATTATGACTGATTAATATCTCTATGGATATACGAGGAAAAAAACTGTCCCAAGTAAAATACCAGCTTCCACAAAGCAAATAATTATTAAGTAAATACACTACTTTTTTAAGAGATTTTTGTTATAGGGCATGTGTGCTCACCAGAGAGATAAGAGAGACAGAAAGTGAGAAATCATCCCCCAGGCGGGATAGCCATGCTTCAATCCCTTGTCCATTCTTCTCTAGGGATTTTGAGCACACATGTATACATGCCTGGTGTGAGTTTAAGCCGCTGAGTCTGGGACTCGAACCACAGTCAGCTACGTGGGAGTCCAGTGACATTACACCATCTGTTGGTCCCAATATGGTACCTTTTCTAACCCTCAGTCACTATAGACATTTTAGAGATCATTTAATTCCATTTCTTTTCTCTACAAAAGTTAGGACCAGAGTTTAAGATTATGCAATGATAGAGGCAGACAGCATCTGATTCTTCAAATTCTCAGCCAATAGTCTGTTTACTAATCTGTATTTTTAAACTGCCAGTAACAACCAATTAGTGGTCACAAAAGTAATGTGAAAATTTTGAAGATGAGATAAAACAGCAAAGAGTATACTGCAATGATAAGGGTTAAGTAGTTTTGAAAAATTTTGTTTCAATTTTATACATGTACACGTAGATGTGGGTGAATGTCTTTATAAACAAGCACAAATATAATTCATGGGGAATAGTCATGCCACAATCCCTTCTCTTCCATGTCTTCCTCCTTCAGGGATTTTAGGGCGCGTACACACACACACACACACACACACACAAAGTATGTTTCTTAAGCCACCAGGTCTGGTACTTGAATTGCAGGGTCGGCCATGTGGGATCCAGCTGCCTTAGCCACCTTGCCATAGGACTGGCCCTACAAATACCTATTTAAAGACAACTATATAGGGACCAGCAGATCACATAAGGGTTACATTGCTGGACTCCCACATAGTCAACTGCATTCTGAGTCCCAGACCTGGTAGCTTAAAATTCTTATCAGGCGCATGTGCGTGCATGCCCAAGATCCTGGGAGGAGAATGAAGAAGGAATTGATTTCTTGCTTTCTGTCTCTCTGGCAAGCACAGGCACTCTACAGCAAAAATCTCTCTCTCAAAATAAATAAATGAATAAAAATAAATAAGACTATATATACCATGTCTTTCTGTAGTCCTCTTGGAATAGACAGACATAACAATAACCCATCACGGATGATAATGAAGGGGGCAGGAGCATGAAGACAGAAGCCAGTCACTCATGCATTTTGTGTTACTGAGAAAGTTCCTGCTAACTGGTTTTCACAGTAAGTGAGAAATATTACCTGTTAGGAGATGTGGCCGTAGGGCTTGAATTTCCAACGTGATGCTGGGGATATGATGAACTGACATCATGAGACGCATGACTACTTCCTAAAATGAAGTAATTTGAAAAATGCTTGATTGGAAATGTGAAATTTTGTCTCTCCCTCTCCAAATCAATCCAACAAGGTAAACGCAGTCTAACAGAAAAAAATTGTTGGAAACTGTAGCACAGTTTCATCAGAGTAAAAAAATTCTAAGTGTTTAAGACCAAATATTGCAAAACAAAGTGTTTCAAACAAGGTACTACCCGATGTATAAATATCTAATCCAGTCATGAGACTCTGATCCTCACACTAAATTGTATGACTGGATACACAGGAAGTTTTATCCTCACATGATCAAGTTTTTAAATTCCTAAGAGTAAATTACAGAGCTGCCAGGAAAATTATTTTCTGAAAAGATTTTTGCTCCTTTTCAGAGTATGGATCCAAACCCAAGTTTCTCTAACAACAATGAATTCTTTCCACTAACCCAAAATGGAATTTCACACTCAGTTTTCAAAATCCATCTAACTATGTTAACCCTTTTCAGGGATATACAGTTTGCTATCCACAACCCTTAGGAAAGTATTTTCATCCAAAAAAAGTTTTTAAAAAACTGAATAATAAATTTAAAAACAAAAAAACAAAGCAGCAAATATCATCATCACTGAATAGTTACCTGATCTAAACTGAATTTTGATTGGCCTTCCAAAAAGTTTGATTCCATTAAGCAGATTCATTGCATACGGAACAGATACTTCATGTTTGAAATTCACAAATGCAAACTGCTTTGGTTTACCATCCTTATCTTTAGGAATCTTCACCTTTATGACTGGTCCAGCCTATAACAAATAAAACAAAGTTTAGAATTTAAATATGGCAACTGCAGAAAAATTCTCAGGTTTTACAAATAATAAAGATGACAAGGTTTAAGAACAGAAATGAAATAAATGTAAGATGTACATGGATTTCCACTTGGGTTAGAGCAAAAAACCAGTTAGTTATACCGATAATTAGATTAATTTACTTGCAGAAGGGGACCCCTTAGGCAGTGGAAACACGATCACTTGCTTTTCGCCCACGGTATAATTTTTTTTTCCCACAAGGTGACCACCAGCCTTAATTTTCTCACTCCACAGAAATAAACGTTTACCAAGAACATTATTTTCTTGGACTAAAAATTTACTTTTATATCGGTTAATTAAATATTGCCAGTTATTAGGGGTCAGTCAGTTCTAGGGAAAAGTGGAATATTTACAATTGTTCACACTTTTTAAAGCAGCAAACGCTACAAGGACGCTTTTCTAAGGACTTACGACTCTATTTTAAGTACATTATAACGAATGCAATTTTGTAACATTAAGTGAAAACAGATACTACAAGAGAACTGAAATACAACCTCCCGGTCGGATGAACCAAAGGCTGCTTATCTACAGGGGAAGAAGAGAACAGGGACAATAGGAAAAAGCACTGCTCAACGAAGCCCCCACCTGCACCGTGTCCCTCGGAACCCCGAAGTCTTCACTATGGGAACGCTTGACTGAGGATCCCTCCACCGCCTTCCACGTCGCCTCTGGCCCGACTACCCAGGGTTCTTCTTCTAAAGCGACACCCAGTGAGCGTGCGGCTTCCTGAACGCGCCTCCACCCCACACAGCCGGTCGGGCGCCCTGACACACCGCCAGGCTCCAGCCAGCACAGCGGGCATGGCCGCTGCCCGGGCCTCGGACGAGCCGGAAAACAGAAGGCGACGAGGCGAATCTTACCTGGTGGAAAAGCTCGAAAAGGAGCTCCTCTGTCACTTTAGTCTCAAGGTTGCCCACAAAGAGCGTGCGATCGGCTTCCGCGCCCGCCGCCCCCATCTCAGCGTCGCCCCCGCCCCAACCAGACCGAAGGGTCGCGGCCGACGCACGCACTGCGCACTCCCGGAACCCCGCGTCCTCGCGCTGCCAGGCGTCTGCGACGTAAGTGTGCGTCACGCTCGTCCTGGGCCGGCGTCGACGTGCGCGGGCGCACTGCGCATGCTCGCGGCGAGGGCGTCCGTTAGCGCGGCTGCTCGACCTGCCGCAGGGTTAGTTATGGTCTCCAAAGTCGGTCACCTCGGCGTCCGGGAAGGGCTGGCCTGATCCGTGCGGCGGGGCCGAGGGACGGAAGGCAAATACTGCAGGCCGTGTCTGAAGATGGCTCCGAACTCTTTGTCCTTATCCGCCGGCGACCAAGGGGACGGGGCGGCCTACCGCACTCCCCACGGCGACCTCAGCCGGCCGGCCTTAGCGTTGGCGATGGTCTCTGGAGACAGCGCCTTCGTCTTCAGGCCCGAGGCGATTCGCCCAGGCCCTCGGCAGGCCGTGCGACCGAGCGTTCGGACCGAGAGCCGTCGACTGGCTGGGGGGGGGCGGAGCTCGACCCGCCTTATAAAGGGGAGAGAACCGGATGGTCGGACCCGAAGCCGCCAGGCCAGATTCTCGCCTTACCCAAGTCTCGGAGTGAAACTCGATCTCCTAAGAAGTGTGCTCCAGCAGCGTCTGATTGCTTTTGGGAGTGTCATTGCAGCCCGGATTTCAGTTTAAGACGAATACCTTCTCTTCACCCTTAGTTAGCTTGTGAACAAGGCATCTCTAAAATCTTTCCTTGGTGTAATCGGAGTCTTATTTTTAGAGGGATGTTGTCTTAATGTGTTAATATAATCTGGCACAGAGGGAGTCTCACTGCTGATAAAGTTATACGGTTTTATATGAGAAAATGATTAGAAAGGATTTTCTTGGAGAGTTACAAAACTGAGCTAATGGAGCCACCACCCTCCCGAGGTCAGCAGTCATTTTATTAACCGTTTGTTCACATCGTTCCAACAAAGGATCCCAATTTCTCCGGTTTACACAAGTCTCCCTTCCCTGGTTGATTTTTAGCCTTGTAATACGAGTTTACTTAACTGCCTATGTATCTCAGACTACTTTTGCTTCTGTTGATGAAAGAGAAAAGTTCCTTTTTTGGGGGGGGAGGGGTTTGGGGGTCGCTATGGGGTGCGTGTGCTCACCAGAAAGGCAGAGAGGGGTGCGTGTGCTCACCAGAAAGACAGAGAGAGACATAGAGACAGGAAGCGAGAAATCACCCCCCAGAAGGGATGGCCTCACCGCAATCCCTTCTCCTTTCCCCTCTCGGGATCTTGGGCACGCACACACGCGCCCAGCGTGAGTTTAAGCCACCGGGCCAGGACTTGAACAGTGGTCAACTACGTGGGAGCCCAGCAACGTAGCCATTACGCTAACTGCTGGCCCCCAGAAATGTTTCTTTTGATTACACTGGCTTAAGCTTATATCTTTTCCCCATAAGTTACCATTTTTTGCCTTCCATCTGCGCCTGCTCAAATCCCCTTTTTTAGAACTACCTAGCAACTCCAAACTCAGTCAAACACACACACACACAAAAACAAGAAAACCAAAACCTAAACCTTATTAGTTTTTTTTTTTTTTTTAATTTTAATTTTGCTGTAGGATATGTGTACTTACCAAAGAAAGGAAAGGGAGAAATCACCCTCAGGGAAGATGGTCACCCCTGTAATCCCTTCTCCATTCTCTTCTCCGGATATTGGGCACACTAGCACATGCCTGAGGCATGTTTTTTCAAGCCTTGGGTTCTGAAACTTAAACCCCTTAGCTGGCCATGTGAGATCCAGGCCATCTACTGGCCCCCTTTCAAACTTCCGAGCTATTTTACACTCCTTTCTTTGCGGAAAGTTCCAAATGAAGTTTTACTTCATATTTGTTATGTTCAACCCTGGCTCCTTAGTCTGAATCTACTATTGGAAAGCTCTCCATCTAGTTACTATATTCAGCCATTCAACAGTGTGGTCATTTCTGGTAAGCACTGGATGATCTTTTCACAGTCTTGACATCAAGTCGTATATTCTAGATGGGGAGGCTAAAAAGCCGATAGACAATCGTCACACACTGGAGTTTTCATTAGGTACTGTAATGAGAGAAAGTACCAATTGCAATGAGTTTCCGTAATACTGCACTATGCTGGTTCTTTTCTTTCCTAGCTCCTTATTTGCCAATATTTGTGTTTTCTTAACCGTGTTTTCCAAAGCTTAAGGTGTGGTATTGGGAGAAAGGTTTTAAGTGCCAATTCTTTATGTCATAGGAAGAATGGTTTGAAGACTAGCCTCCTTCTTTATCCCTCCTTCCTTTTTTCTTCTCCCAGAAGAGACTAGCCTCCTTCTTTATCCCTCCTTCCTTCCTTTTTTCTTCTCCCAGAATAAAAACAGGCCTGCCATGTTCAGCACACACTAGTGGGCACAGGGACTGGGCCAACTACCTGTTATTGAGTGTTATGTGCAAGACAGTGTGCTAGAGGCTTTTATTCATTGTTTTCTGAGATTATTTATTAGAGGTTTATTCTTTGCCTACTACTGCCTGCAAAGGTCTTTGCTTTTACAGTGTTTTAACATATGTTATCATTTTGTTGCTGAAAAGCAGTCTGAAAGAGATGAAGTAAGATTTCATACAGCAAGTAAATCGTAGAGCCTTGCAGTCTTTGAACCAAAGTTTCTCATCTGAACCATACAACACAAAAATTATTTGAGTGGTTTTTTTCTGTTTTCCTAAGGGTAAATTTGTAACTAGATTATTCCTAATATTTAAAAGAAGGTAGTCCATAATAAGCAACGTGTGCCTTAGGCTGGGCATTACTGAAACTGCTGGTTGAGAAAAAAATTCCAAGTTATATCTATGATTTTTAGACTGAGGAAGAATAATAAAGTTAAGTCTTGAAGACTTTCTTAAAACTTAAGAGATGCTTAATAGAGGAAAATACCATCTTAAGGTAGTAAGTTAGCTGCCAGCAAATTCACATAGAGGCTGAATCCTGTGAAGGATTTTGTCCAAGGAATTGTCATTGTTTCATATAGAACTAGATGACTCCCCCTCCCTACTTATTCTATAATTCTATACTTTAAAAAATAAGCTTGATGACAGCCCTGTGACCTGGTGATTAAGGGAATTGGATCCCACATGGCACTCCACATGGTTTGAATCCTGACCCCAGTGTCCTGAAAAACAGACTTTATACATGCCCAAGATCCTGGCAGGATGAAGAAAGGAAGGAAAGAGATTGCAACTTGACTATGCCCTGTTGGGATGTGCTTTCTCCTCCACTCTCTGTTTATCTCTGGCAAACACACACACCCTTAAAACAAAAACAAAACACAAAAACCTTTGTTTCAATTGGAAATGGGAAACTGGGGGATAAAAGTTAGGCATGGTACGTAGGGTAACCATATCAGCAAAACGAGACAATGAGCAGAAGAGTATGCTATCAATTATTTGGAGGAAACAGACATAATTACATAAAGGGTTATCCCGGGTAACCAGCTGGCTCATGTAATCATCACCTAGGAGATGATTCACCACTAAACCAACTTCGGAATATATTTCTTAGCTTATCAGAAGAGGAAAAAGCCTGAGACTTGTGAAGAGTGAACAAAACTCGCATAAGAATACACTAAAGGGCATAAGAGCAAGGAAGGACCACATAGGAGTGAATTTGTTTCTGTTTCTTTTGGCATGGGGTCATTAGGAACAGGGCTTTGGGTGAATAATAATGTATGTGCCAGAAAAAAAGTGCTGTGGTTTCTTTGTGTTCTGTTTTGTTTGGCAAGAGGGGAACCATGTTCACATAAATGCTTTATTATTTTAAGCCTGAATCAATGGATGTCTAAATTCTCCTTGTTCTTAGCATCTGCAAAAGCATCCAAGTTATGTGTCCCTCAAGTCACAAAGAATGTATTGTGGAATCAAGAATCAACATAAATCTCTTTTCAATAAAGTTACCTAAAGCAGGGACAACTAAATTTCTTTGGAGCAGACCATGTTATAAAAATCCATATTAATGCACAAAATGAATTTTTAGTATTAGTGATTAAACATAGCATATTGTTTAAAATAGACAAGTTCTAAGAATAGCTTAAAAAAATCAATGTGTGTGTTTTTTTAAAAGCCATTGTAACTTCCTGTTGGTGTTTATTTTTTATTTTTTTAGAGATTTTTGCTATAGGGCATGTGTACTCTGCAGAGAGATTGAAAGGAAGAAATCACCCCCTTGGAGGGGATGGCCATCCCACAATCCCTGCTCTATTCTCCTCTCAGGATTTTGGGCACTCATGCGCATGCGCCCAGCATGAGTTTAAAGCCGCTAGGTCCAGGACTCAAACCACAGTCGGCCATATGGGAGTCCAGTGACACAACCACTACACCATCTGCTGGTTCCTATTCTTTTTATTATGTCAGTCTAAGCAACTGGCTCACATGTGTTGAAGTAGACTCCTATTAGGATATTTACTTCCTCTGCTCATTAGCACTAAAATTTTTGGAAAGCATGTTTGTTTGGATTATACAAAAACAGTAGATGAATTTAACTGTTTCCCTGATTAGCCTATGCCCTCATTCTCTGCTCAAATATTTTGGGTGAAGTTTCACACCTAGCTGCAGGATAGGGGTATAATCTGTATTTTATATCTCCTTTAGTACATTGAAGCCTTCTAAGGTAGACAACATATTTAAATTTTAAGTTTTATTTGTAACTATTAAGTGTCCACAGAGCAGATACATTTTTAAAGTTTGTTTCTCCTCCTCCTCCTCTTTCTTCTCCTCCTTATAGCTCATCTGTTTTTTTCTTTGCTAGAGGCATATGCACTAACCAGAGAGAGAGGGAGAGGAGAAAGTACTCATGAGGAATGGTCATGTTGCAGTCCCTTCTTCATCTCTCTCCTTTTGCGATTTTGGGCATGTATACAAGCTCACCTGATCTGTTTCCCAAGCCCCTGGGTCTGGGACTCAAACTATGCAGTCAGCCATGTTGAATCTGGCTGCCTTAACCACTAGTCCACAGAGCCAGCACTACTTGTTTCTTATACAAGTGAGAGACAAAGACCCAGAAAGCAAGAGAGAATGAGAGCACTCTCAACAGAATCCTATGCCACAATCCTCTCTACTCCCAGCCTTCCCAGTCAGCCAGGATCTGGCACCATGTCCAGTGGTACAGGTCAACTGAACCTGCAACCTTTCATATAGCTCCAGCACCACTTGAGCAGTGTGTTACTGAGCCACCCCAAAGAGTAGATATTTAATGACTGCCTGTTGAATGAATGAATAAACTTTATGGATGGGCTATCTCTGTTTGGAATCAAAATATAAAAATAGGATATCCAGGAAAGCAAGGACAGGAACTCTGGTCTTTTGGGTCTAAAATAATCTTGTTTCCCAGATTAATAACAATAATGATGCAGGAGCGCTGGGTGATTAGACCCAACATCTATGCTGATTCTTGTTTGACACTCATGAAGAATTAGAGACACAGACACAGGAGGGTAAAGTAGAGTTTATTAAGGAAGGAGAAAAATCTTCCAATGCAATGGAAGGGGGCCAGATTGGGTTTCCAAAGAGGAACTGGAGGTTTTTTATTTATCAGTCCAAGCAATGGGCTGGCTAGCTTTCTGATAAGAAAGTGGGCTTTATAAAATAGTTACATGGTAGTATGAGTGGCTTGTTACCCTATTTTTGTGGGGTCAGCAGACCATAGAATTCTGTACTTCTTGTTAGAATGCAGTTACTAAATAGAAGCGGCTACCCTTTG